CACTGAGCATGGCGCACCTCAGAAACGTAAATATTTGCGTCCTGTATTGTGAATGTTGCTTGTTTTTAGACATGACTCTTCTGAGCGTGCTGTGCCTGTATATCACGTGTGCATGGGAAAATATTAAACGTCTTTCTTTGACATTTTACTCAGCAGAGGCAGGACTGATAGGTGGCTGCTAACATAAAAATAAAATTTAAACATATTAAGCCTTGCATAAAATCAACTTTTATGCATATTGCATAACAAAATTCCAATCTCAAGAACCACACTACTGTAGCTGCTTGCTATGAGAGCGCTGGTGGAATTTGAGCCCACCACAGTTTCTAAAAGACTTTCCACACTGTCCACAGATGTAAGGCTTCTCTCCAGTGTGGATGCGGAAGTGCCTGGTTAAAGCACCAGAATGACGGAAACACTTTGAGCAGACTGAGCAGGTATATGGCCTCTCTCCTGTATGGATTCGAAGGTGGGTCTTTAGATTCTCCATGCGATTGAACTCTCGGTTGCACACTGTGCAGCGGAAGGGGCTGCAACCCGGTGGGTAAAGCTGCAATCTGGCCCTCTTGCTTCCTGCCACAGGTTGCTGACAGCGTTGCTGGAACCTTAGCTGGCACTGGCCAGTGTGTCGGCGCAACAAGCTGGGCAGATGGAAAGTCTGACCACAGGACTTACAGGCATAGAGGGTAGCTACGGGGTGGTTGAGTTTATGACTGGTTCGAACATTGACTGGGTAAACCTGTGGAGCGGCCTCTGACACAGGAGCTGGTTCGGACAGCTGGAAGATACTGGAGAACTCTGCAGGGAGGGATGGAAGATCTGTGGGCGGCTGAAGGGTGGAGGCTGGGTTTGAAGGATGAGCTGCTGAAAGACATAACATGCAGAGTTAATTACACTGTAGAATAATTATTTAAAAAAAATATTTTTCAATTACACAAACTTCATTAGCCTTAAAGATCAGAATTCATGTAGTACATACATAAAACACTTATTAATTTACATGTATTAAGTCAGTAGATTGCTCTATATAAAAACAATGGTCAAACATTTTTTGAATCCTTTAGAATAATCTGAGGAATAATCTGACATTTAGCCGCCTGACTGGAAGTCCAGATGTTAAAATTTTGCATCACTAGATAGTAGGAAAGCATAAATGTCGTGCTGTTTGACTGGCACATGGGTATGAGGCAAATTTTCTATTGCATACTGGGTGTACAACCAATCAATATTATTGATAATGAGAAATTGTCTGTTACTTATATAGAACTTTTATTGTCCCACTAGCAACTTAGATCATTTTACATTGCAAGCCAATAAACCCATTCATTTCCCTGCACCGCCAACTTTTTGTTTATCTCACATGCACAGATAAACTCAATCCAGCATCGCTAGTTAACTGAACATGTATGTATTTGAACCACGTGAAGAAACTGCTGTATCGGTGCCAGAACACTAAAAACATCCCAAAAATTTCAAACCCAGAATCTTTGTAATGTAAAGTAACAATGCCAACCGAAAAACAAAAACTACTCTGGGTCATGAATGAAAATATTTCTATCTACCTCAACACAAACAGGAAACTGCTGTTCTTGTATGTCTATGATGTCTAATTTAATTATACAAACTCAGGAGATAAAATTATAAAAAATAATCTTTCACTAAGCCCGTATTCTGTCATCGTGTTGGCTGTGCTCAGTCCCAGAAGGGCAGAACTGGCCAAACATTTGTTCTCACTTTCACAATTCCCTATACAGCTTCCTTGGAGCTTGTCCAGCTTCCACTATGGTGGCAGTCAGAATGGACTGTGGGCTGGTGAAGTTAACTGCTGGCACAGAAAGTACTGCTTGTCCTGCTGGTGCGATGATCTGAGGTGTCAGAAAGAATGCTGGTAGGTCTTTCTCTTCACTGATTGCTTTGACATGATGGGATGTGGGAG